GGCTGGAGTGCAGTGGCGTGATCTGGACTCACTGCAACCTTTGCTACCCAGATTCAAGTGATTCTCCCACCTCAGCCTCCCAAGTAGCTGGAATTACAGGCACCTGCCATCATGTCCAGCTAATTTTTGTATTTTTGTAGAGACAGGGCTTTACCATGTTGGCCGGGCTGGTTGAACTCCTGACTTCAGGTGATCTGCCCGCCCCAGCCTCTCAAAGTGCTGGGATTACAAGCATGAACCACTGTGCCTGGCCTCATATATGTGTTTTGTTTTGAAATTAACATTTTGTAAACAGATGGTGGTCTGCATGTGCCCCGATGCTGTACGAGTGTATGGAGCCAATGGGAAGGGAGTGTGGAGAGAAACTGTTGGGGTTGAGGCAGCATCTAAGAACGCCTGAGTCCTGCCATGGCAGCAATCCTGCAGACAGACAGGACCTCACTTTGTTAAACTGATGAGTTTAAGTTCATGACTAAAGATGAAGCCAGAAGCTGCAGACTAGCTTCGCAGCTGAGGAGTGGGGAAGGTGGAGCCAGGTGGACCTCACCTCTGCATCACAGAGGCCTGGGTCCAGGCTATGATGCTCTTAGCATCTCTTTAAGAATAAATCCCAGAGCCCAAGGTTGGAAGAGGAAGTGGAGGCCTTGGAGTTCAGATGGCCCTCCCTACCCTCCTCAATGACAGAGGAGCCCAAGGTTGCCGAACGTATTTAAGACCATGTCACCCAAGTTCAAATAGACATGAGTTAGTAGTAAGTGGTTGCTGCACTTTGCCAGTTGGAAGATCAAGCCTTAGAACTGGAGGTTCTTTCAAGTCCCCCAGAAAGTGCTGATAACTGCTGGCATACACTTTAGAAGTCCCTGTCAGCCCTTGGGACATAACCTGCATCCCCTGGCCCCTTGGGGGTGGTCTGATTTTTTCCGTTCTCTTTCATCGGATTCAGTAATGTTAGCTGCTGCCTTATTACTGCCTAACTAGAGACTCCTAGTGTTGTAAAGACAGTAAGATGTCAGCTTGCCAGCCTCTCTTACTGGGATGAGGAGATGGAAATGGAAACCATGAGAATGGTATGCCTCTCGACAGTTGCCACTGACCCCTGGAGAGGAATCCTAGTTGGTTGGGAGAAGGGGGATGGGCTTGAACTCTCTCTGCCCCCTTACTTTTGGAGCAGCAGCATCCCCCCAAGGAGCTGAGAGGTCACTCCCTGGGCTAAGCAGCCTGAGCTAGTGCCTCTCCACGGACAGGATACTTCACAACTCACAAAAGGGAGCAGCTGCCTCTGGAAACCATGTCCATCCTAAGAGCCCCTCTTGCAGCACCCTCCTTAGGTTGATTCAGGGAGGGAAGCTGTGGGAGGAGTCGGGGAAAAGCCCCGGAGCAGTGCTTCCTCTCCCTGCTGCACCAACATCTTGGAAGCTTGGTGGAGGTGGGGACACAGCTGTTACCAGTAGTGCTGCTCTTCCTCCTGTCCCACACCCCCACTTTCTCTTCCCCTTTCCAAATAGTTTTAATGTGATCTCCTGGCATTGGAGACCCTGGGCACCACTGCACATTCAGGCCAGTAAACAGGTCAGGCCCATGCAGCCACCGGAGGTGGCAATGCCCAAGAGGCCATCCTGCAGGCACTAGCTGGAGATGCCAGTGTTGAATGACTCCAAGGAAATTGTTTTCCTTCTGAAAAAGAAGCACACAGCTGGGCGCGGTGGCTCACACCTGTAATCCAGCACTTTGGGAGGCCGAGGCGGGGTGGATTGCCTGAGCTCAGGAGTTCGAAACCAGCCTCGGCAACACGGTGATACTCCATCACTACTAAAATACAAAAGAAAGCTGTAACTAGGCGTGGCGGCGTGCACCTGTAGTCCCAGCTACTCAGGAGGCTGAGGCAGAAGAATTGCTTGAACCTGAGAGGCGGACACAGTGAGTTGAGATCATGCCACTATACTCCAGCCTGGGCCACAGAGCGAGACTCCGTCAAAAAAAGAAAAGAGAAAACACCATTCCTTTTGCTGAAGTGGGCACAGGCCAGACCCCTAGCATCTGAGCGCTTGCAGTGCTGCAGGAAGTGCTCTCCTGGCACTCCCTTGTCCTACCAAGAAGTGGGGACAGCAAGGGACTTAGAGCAACCCAGTACGTGAACCTCTTCATTTACAGAAGCATTTTGGAGGCTGTTTTCACTATACAAAAGGTTCTATAGAACTTTCCAATTGTATTTTGCATTTTAAAATATACTGTTCATTAACATAATATAAAAATATACACAAGGCCGGGCACAGTGGCTCATGCCTGTAATCCTAGCATTTTGAAAGGCCGAGGGAGGCGGATCGCTTTAGGTCAGGAGTTCAAGACCAGCCTGGCCAACATGGCGAAACTCTACAAAAAATTAGCCAGGCATGGTGGCGGCGCCTGTAGACCCAGCTACTCGGGAGGCTGAGGCAGGAGAATCGTTTGAACCTGAGGGGCAGAGGTTGCAGTGAGCCAAGGTCGTGCCACTGCACTCCAGCCTAGGTGACAGAGCAAGACACCGTCTCAAGAAAAAAAAAAGTGTACACAATTACAAGTGAAATTCCCACTTGCGAGAGGTAACTGACTCACCACCTTTAGTGAGTTGTCTTGGTTTTGTTTTTTAAAATACTCTGCAACAAAGCTTTACTTGTTTTTGTTGTCTGTTACAGAGTAAACCATGGTGTAGGTTCTTCTGCCAGAAATTCTCACACTTTGAAGTTAGGGAACAGAAATGGTTCAGTAAGTGACAAAATGACAGCCAGAATAGATGGCCTGGGGCTTTGTCACACATCCACCATGGCCTCAGCCTTTTTCTTTCAACCTTGTTTGGCTGGCTCCTTCCTCTGTCCCTAAAGCTGTCCAGTCCTCCACCTGCAAAGCAAATTCTTTCAAGTCTCTGCCTCCAGCAAGTACCCTGTCTTGCTCCTTCCCTTCACTGTGAAACGAATAGAAAGAGTGGCCAGCTCTATATGGTCTTTGTTTCACCACCCCTTCCTCCTCCTCTTGCTTCTGCTGCCCCCCGCCGTCCCAACACTGGGTGTCCCCAAGGATCAGCCACACACTCTAGACCCACTCCAAAGCATTCCTTCTTGCAACCATTCTGCAACCTGCAACCTTGCTAACCCTCCTGCTGGTTCTTCTGTCTCTGTAGTTGGCTTGTCAGACTTTGCAGGCAGCCCTCTCACCTACTTCCTCGGCATTACTGCTCTGAGGTTCAGTGCTCTGCCTTCCTTCCACACACGCTTCCTTGGACATGCAGAAATTAAAGTGCTGAAAATGGAGGCCTGTTATATACCACAGTTCTAAGTCTCTAGAGGCCTCCTTCAGGCACCTGGGGAGACTGTGAAAGCATCAGGTGTCCCCACCTGGACCTGTCTATGTGGCCATGTTTCACCTGCACCCCCACACAGCTTGGTGGCATTAACCTGGGGACTAGTTCTGGGCCTGAAGACTGAGCTCAGCCTTGTCAGCCAGAGATGCCTTGGGGCTTCCCCTGAACCGAGAGGCCACAGCGTCTGCTCTTCGCTTTTACCCTCTGTTTCAGGATGCAGTCAGCACCTAGTGCAGGGGTGAACGCTGATGCCAAGTTTGCCCTCCTATCCCTCAACCCCAAGTAGGAAGTTCACCTCTTATTTCCATATTGTAATTGAATTCCGACACCCCACCAGCCCTTCCTGGGACTAGGGGAAGCTCCATCGTCAGTCTGTTTATGACACTCAGTCGTAGGAAGCTCTGACCTTGGTTAGACAGGAATGGGCCAGAGCACCCAAAGCCACTGGGCATGGCTTCTGTGTGCTGCCCCAGGTGAGGGCAGAGGGGCCTCTGCCTCTCCTTACCTGGGACTACCAGATCACCCATGCCAGTCACATGTCTTCCAGGTCACCCTGCTGCCCTCCAAGGCACCTCATGCTCTCAGAGGGCCCTGCTGATGCCTGAAAAGCCCAGATCAAGCTGAGAGCAAGAGCCTGGCTGTCTGTTCAGGAACCCTCTGCCCTGTTCTGCCTTGGAACTGTGTCACCCCTCATTGCTGAGGACTGTAACCAATATGTACAGAGGGGGTCTTGGCTTCTGACAGCTCTGGATATGCCCTGTGATGCCTTCATGTAGTAAGTCATTGAAGGTAAGTATCTATACAGGCTTCACTGGTGACTCACACATGTCCCCCTCCACCATTCCATGAAATGACATGGCACTTCTGTCTCAGGCACTGTTTGCTCTCACGAATGTGCTGCCTGTTAGGGAAGATGATCAGGCAGATAAATACATACCCTCATCCAAAAAGAACAGGACCTGAAAAAGCCTCTTAGAGACAGCCCATTGAAAATGGAGACCAGCATTTCATACAGCACATAGTGAAAAAGGTTTGATCTGAATTTAATCTTGCAAAATGAAAATATTATTGAAATAAGTATCTTTTTTGAATTGACAAAAATTATATATAATATACAGTATGTTTTGAAATATGTATACATTGTGGAACGGTTAAATTGATCTAATTAACATACGCGTTACCTCACATACTATTTTTTTTATAAGAAACACTTAACATCTACCCTCTTAGGGATTTTCAAGAATATAATACATTGTTATTAACTAAGTCACCTTGTGGTACAATAGAGCCCTTTCACCTAATCCTATTTAACTGAAATGCTGTATCCTTTAACCCGTATCTCCCACTGTTTTGTTAAAAAGTATGTTTTAACACAAGGTAATTGCAACTATAGGCTAATTCTTTGTTGTTGTTGTTATTGAGACAGGGTCAGTCTCCCTCTGTTGCCAGGCTGGAGTGCAGTGGCATGATCTTGGCTCACTACAACCTCCGCCTCCCGGGTTCAAGAGATTCTCGTGCCTCAGCCTCCTGAGTAGCTGGGATTGTAGGCATGTGCCACTGCGCCCAGCTAATTTTTGTAGTTTTAGTAGAGGTGGGGTTTTGCCATGTTGGCCAGGCTGGTCTCAAACTTCTCACCTTAAGTGATCTACCTGCCTTGACCTCCCAAAGTGCTGGGGATTACAGGCATGAGCCACCACTCCCGACCAGGCTAATTCTTAAAAATAATATTTTAGGTGTATTTCCCTCCCCAAATTATATGATTACACAATAGGACATCATTTCATGTTTGATTTTCTACAATGTAACCAATCACGGGATCATTTTAGGAAAAGTTAGTCAAGGGCTTCATCAGTTTCCCTCTTAAATCCTTTAGTTTTGATATTCACATCGTCCCCCTAGGAAGCACCTAATTGGTTAGACATGTCACTTTCCCCTTCGTTTGTTAATGGACCTACTCTCTGAGATCCTTATTTGCCAATGGCTACACTCATCTGAGCATTTGGCCAACAACACATTCATCAACTATGTGAAATTCTGCATATTTTACAAAACTTAAATTGTACTTTGATACCTGTTTTGTTGTATTTTCAACATCTCACAATCCATAACAGAGAGGAAAGTTGGGCTATGGTGGATGGAGAGTATGTTAAGGAGGGAGAGATGTTTAAGTGGAGAGTGATTTTTCTAAGTGGATGAGTTGTGTAGAGAATACTTTTCATGTCTGATGACTTTAGCTTTCTCCACAACTAGTGGCTACAGGAACTTGGATACTGACTAGTTGGAGTTATAGCTCAGAGGAAGAAGAGAGTACATGCACGTCTGAGCAAGGAACCTGCCCCTGGGGGGATAGCAGTGACATCAACACATGGCAATATGATGAGGTCAAGGTGAGTCAAGACAAGAGGGTGGGTTTCAGGATCTGAGCCAGAGCACATGGGTTAGTGAACAGGAAAGGCAGGAAATATTTGTTAAAAGCTTAGGCCAAAAAAGTCTCCTATGTCAGGCCAAACACTGGTCCCAATTCTATAGGTATTTGAGGTTTCTGAACAGAGAATGGAACGAGATGATAATAGTATTTATTATGGGCTAGGACTGTTCGAGTACTTTCCACGAGTAACACACTTAATTCTCCTGTTAACCTGGCGAGGTACTGTCATAGCCTCATTTGAAACTAATATGACTGAGCCAGTAGAGCCGTTAAGCCCCTTGCCCAAGGTCACCCCGAAAGTTGAAGCAGCAGAGCCACGGTTTTCTGAATCTGGACCCTCTGCCTCCTGAGATCACGCTTTCAACCGCTGCGCTACCCAGTCTCTCCTGGGCCCAGGCTGACTGGAAGTGTGTGCTGGGAGGTGAGGCAAGTTGAGGGGGAAAGAGCGGTAAGAGGCCACCTGCATGATAAAAGGCCTAAACCAGGGCAGGGAAGAGTTCAAGAGCAATTCCAAAGAACACTGCATGTTAAAGTACTAGTGCTGTTTCATTGGGTTTACACAGGACTGTTTCTTTCCAAAACTCAGTAAATCATGCATGAAGCAATCACCATTGCAAGAAGGAATCAGCTGCTCACTAAAATTCACTGTTTCAGCCAGGCATGGTGGCTCATGCCTGTAATCCCGGCATTTTGGGAGGCTGAGGAAGGTGGATCACCTGGGGTCAGGAGTTCGAGACCAGCCTGACCAACATGGTTAAACCGTGTCCCTACTAAAAATACAAAAATTAGCCGGGCGTGGTGACAGGCACCTGTGATCCCAGCTACTCGGGAGGCTGAGGCAGAAGAATTGCTTGAACATGGGAGGCGGAGGTTGTAGTGAGCAGAGATCGCATCATTACACTCCAGCCTGGGCAACAAGAATGAAACTCTGTCTCAAAAAAATAAAAAATAACATAAAATTCACTGTTTCTCAGGAGGAGCTCCCTCAACTAAACAGCTTCCCTTCTAATGCAGGGACAAATTGGCACTTAAGATAAATTTGCAGCAGACACCAGGGGGGTTAATGATCCTGTGACTGATTACACTATAGAAAATCAAACATGAGGCCGGGCGCGGTGGCTCAAGCCTGTAATCCCAGCACTTTGGGAGGCCGAGACGTGTGGATCACAAGGTCAGGAGATCGAGACCATCCTGGCTAACACGGTGAAACCCCGTCTCTACTAAAAAAAATACAAAAAACTAGCCGGGCGAGGTGGCGGGCGCCTGTAGTCCCAGCTACTCGGGAGGCTGAGGCAGGAGAATGGCGTAAACCCGGGAGGCGGAGCTTGCAGTGAGCTGAGATCCGGCCACTGCACTCCAGCCTGGGCGACAGAGTGAGACTCCGTCTCAAAAAAAAAAAAAAAAAAGAAAATCAAACATGAAATGATGAAGCTAGAGCATAGGGTCTGCCTAGGCAAGTGCCTGCTTGTGCACAGCTCTGTGCCACCCAGCAGGCAAAGCCCTGACCCAGTGTTGTGAGACCTGTGTTCTAGCCTACAATCACTTACGGGGTGGGAGTTGACCACTCTACTCTGCTTTAATTTCTCACCTATGGGGATTTTTGTCCGATCTGCCCATGGGACTGTTGAGGGGACTGTTGAGGATCCAGTGAGGAAGTAGATCATGTTTTCAAAGTCTGGCTGATCTACAGCAGAAAGAATGGTCCTGCCAAAGCTGGCACTTGAACATCTGTGACTGATTCCCAGCACCTCACCTGCGTTCCAGTGTAGTCTCCATGGGAGGTGGCGGGAACCCTGCTTGTCTGCCACACAACCTGCCAGCTCCAAGGCAACAGCATCTCTCCTCTTACCCATATCTGCCAAACCCAAGAGAAGAGGGAAATACGTCAGGTCTCTCAGAGTGTGGGAAGGACTCTTGGCCATCTCTAGCCAGGACAGTCCCCAACAAGAAATACTGGGGTTGGGGTGTTGCCAGGGACAGGTTTTCTGGCAAGGATAGGAAGCTCTGCCCTCGGCTGCTGAGCTCTGAGAGATGGGCTCCATGGGTGGCCTTGCTTCTAGCACAGGCGAGATCTAGGCAAGTAGTCAGCAGTGCAGACCCCCTCCCTTCAGGGCTCCAGCCACCTTACCTCCATGTGGGCCAGTGTCTGGATGTGCAGCCAGTGATCCCTGAACTTCCCAAATACAAACCTCTTGATGGATGCCCATCCTGGGAAAGAAGTGGCGCCAGAGGTTGACTCCCTGGTCAATTTCTAGTGTTTCCTCTGAGTCCCAAGGGCAGTATTCTGCAATAAGCTGTCTTGTCTGGCCTCTCTTGCATATAACTGGTCTATACCCCACAGGGAATTGGGGTCAGGCGGCAGGTCCAGAGGATAGAGGCGCTGTGCCCATGCCTACTAAACAGCCCGGTTATGGCCTTGCGGGGAGCGTTCCCCGTCCAGTCTCAGAGTAGGAGCACACGTCCAAGGATTCCTCCAGGGCCCTTTCCTCTGTAGTACCCTCAACCCTGCTCTGCACTTCACTAGTCCTGCTTGACCCACAGATCCCTCCCACTTGCTGTGCCCCCCATGCCCAGGGCTGCTGCTGTTGCTTCCCCCACCTTCCCTTCCAGCCCAGACTCCCACTCCCCTGCAAGCCATCCAGAAGAAGTCTCACACTAAGTCATGGAAAATGCACAAGCCAGAAACAGCACAACTGTCCATCCACAGGGCAAGGAATAAGGAACTTGTGAAAGTTATCCACAAACAACATAGCAACGAATCAATAAAGTAGTTACATACAGCCACATGGATGAATTTCACAGAATATTGAGTAGAAAAAATAATAAAATATATGCTGTATGATTCCATTTTTGAGAAGTTCAAAACCAGGCAAAACGAAACTATTCTTTGGGGGTGTGAGGACATGGTAACTACAAAAGCCGAGGTCCCGGTGGTCTCTAGCAGGATGTGGAGAACAGGTTGGGGAGGATCTAGAGTGCTAGGGATGCTCCAGGTCTTGGAGTAGTGGGTTTATAATTCAGCAACCCCTACAGATATGTTTGATGTGCTTTTCTACATATATGTTATTTCATGAAAAAAACCCTCGCACCCCGTCCCTCTGCTCTGCCTTGACTGGCTCAGGGCACGAACCCGCTAGTGTGCACACCTCTTACCCTGTTGGCCTCAGTGGGGAGCATTGGATGGGGAGCTTCCAGGGCCTAAGGACAAAGGGTGACCCACCACTCAGGAGTCCCACCTTTATTCCTTCCTCTGGGGTGTCTCCCTGTCCCAGGCTGTCACATCCCAGCCCCAGCCCCACTTTGTTCTCTGGGGAGTTTGGCTGTGTTGACCTGGAGCACCCAGTCTCCTGGCTTCCTTGGGTGGCCTTACCTGACCTAGGTCTGTTTCTTACAGAGGGACCTGCTCTGATGAGCCATTCCAGTGCCCCAGCTTAACGTAATATCTGCTGGGATAGTCTTGGTCTTCGTCATTTTTTTCTGTCACGTGGTCACCTGCTCACTTACTTACAGTTAGGGGAAAGCTTACAGGGAGTCCATGTCTGGGAACGTTTGATTCTTTGTGAGAATGTCAGTCACACAGCAAGGTGAACTCCCACTCCATGTCAGAGGCACTCTGGCCATGGAAGCCAGGCTCCTTGTCCTCATGGAGAGGAGTGCTGAGAGAAGACAGGGAAGTGTGATGAGGGCTGCAGAGCAGGCTGGTGGCCTGTGGGAACCTGCCATGAGCAAGTCAGGAAAGGAAAGAAATGTTTCACTGAAGGCCTGAGGGATGGAGAGGGAACAAGAGGGAAGACGCTCAGCTATGTCTTCATTTCCTTTAGCCCTGACAACATGCTTTGTGATAGGTATTATGATTCTCATTTTACAGAGGTGGGAACCGAGGCACAGAGGGGTAAAGAGCCCAGCCCAAGCTCACTCAGCTAACATGTGGCAGAATGAGGACTTACACTCCCGTCTCCATGATTCAGAAGCTGTCAGTGAGGAGGCTGCTGCCATAGCCATGGTCAGGAATGATGGTGGTTTCACTGGTTATGGAGCAAGGAGATGTGTGGGCTCAGGAGAGGCACTGATGATAGAACTGATGTTCCATGGACTTGGGGAGGGATCAGAGACAACTCCCAGCTTCAGCCTTGATCAACTAGGTGGACAGTGATTCACATTCACCAAGATGAAGAAACGGGAAAAGCAGATTTGGAGGGAAAAAAATCATTCATCTAAATTTGATACATTCTACTTCAGTTAAAAAAAAAAAAAAAAAAGAGAAAGAAATGGGTTGATTAAATGAAAACAAAACAAGATGATTCCATGCCTAGAACTCCCACTGTATGCCACCCCTCCTTCAATCCCAACATTCTCACACCCTTCGCCCTGCTTCCTTCCAGCGTCCTCATGTATACCTGTCCTTTCTGAACCTGGGGCCCTCCAATATCCAATGCCAAGCAGATTGCGTTCGAGAGAACCACCTAGAGGACACTGTCCTTGGCCACACCATTCACCACCTCACCCGTGCTTTCTCCTTCTCAGGGCAGAATTCCCTTCATCTTTCTAGTCCTGAGACCATTCTCTGCGTGCAGAGCTGGTCTATAGGTGTGCAGCCTCTGCAGTTACACAGGGCCCCACACTCAGAAGGGCCCACCTTCAGTTTAATGCTCCTCTGTTGCCATCTTGAAGTTCCTAACATATTAAACAAAGGGCCGCACACTTTCCTTTTGCACTAGGTCCCACAAATTATATAGCGGGTCCTGTACATATGTCTGCATCATAATGAGGCAAACCAACGTGCAGCAGCCTTTCCCATCTGTGGCAATGAACCTCATTTCCATCTAGGAAGTCCAACTGCTTCAAATCACAGGGAGACAAAGCAAAAAAAGAAGCTCAATTCTTCTGTTTCTATGAAATACAGTTTTATGTGTAGTTTTATGTTTCTTCCTGGATAATAATTTAGGAGGGAACCCTGAAGAACAGGATACAGAGATAACAAATTATGAGCCATTAACTGTGGCTAATTATTTCTTTATGGCTTAGAGTGGAGGCACATCTGAGTTACTCTGGCACTCACAGTTCCAGAAGGGAGGGGCTGCTTAACTACAACATAGGGCCAACATAGGGCCCACGGGGAGATGAAGGGAGGAGCCATTTAGTGCAGGCTCGGCATCCCCAGTCCAGAACCTGAAACGTTTTGGGAACCGACATGCTCAAAGGAAATGCTCATTGGAGCATTTTGGATCTCAGATTTTCAGATTAGGGATGTTGAACTATTAAGTATAATGCAAATATTCCAAAATCTGAAAAAATCCAAAATCCAGAACACTTCTGGTCCCAGCATTTTGGATAAGGGACACTCAACCTGTAATCTCAGCCTGGCTTCTGAAGCATAAAAGCATAGCAGCATCCAAGCATGCAAATAAACTGATGTCCAACCCAAAGGTCTAGTATCTGGTTTGACTTTGTGGAAGAAAAGGATTTCCTATTTCACAGAATCCTTTTGTTCCTCACCCTTTTTACCCAGAGAGAGAGCCGCTTAGTGTAAGTCATGGAAGGATGACTGGGGACTATCAGAACCCTCAAGAGAAATGTTTGTTGGTCTGGTTTATGCTACATTTAGAAGAAGGCCCAGGACTGTTCCTACAGTCTAGACTGGAACGAGGACTCAGGGTAGGGGTGGGGTGGGTAGTGGATGGAGAAAGAGGAGAGTAACCAGGAAGAAAAATGGGTACCCAGGTATCCTCTGAGGGTGACTCGAAAGAGATCAAAAAGCAACTGACTGAAAGTCAAGAAACACTTTTGCCATCACCGTAATCCATGAATGTTGAAGACTGACTGAGCAGGCTGTTTTCTTTCTGGTAATGGACAGTTCCTTCTAGACGTGGCAGAGTTACAATTCCATACTGTAATATGTTAGATAATGAGCCTTCCACTGGGTCTAAAATTAGGACTTTGACATACAAGAAAAACGTCTTCAGGCTTCAGGTTTTCGTTATCTGATTTCTTTTGGATACTTTTTGCTCTTCTATCTTTCCTCCAGAAAAGACCAAGCTGACCCACTCACTGTCAGCACCAAGAATGCTGTAAGGGTCACTGAAGACAAATTGTGCTGGTTTGGGAATAAGATAAAAGAAGACAAACTCCTCTTTCCACAACTATGTGCTAGCCCAGAAGTACCCTGGCCACTTTAGTCATTTATTTTACCTCATTTGACATTGATCTATGATATGATCAACATGACTCACCGGTGCCTAGAGATTCTCTAACTTGTTTTTCCTGGCCCTGCACCCTTCTCAATAGCCCACACCCCAGACTTACTCCTCCTCCTTGTTACAGCTGGCGTGTGGGAAATGGGACTGGCCTGGGGCTCTCTAGAGTGGGCGGAGCTACCTCTCTAGCAGTGCTCTCGAAAGTGGCTATTGTTTCTGAACTGAGAGCTTTACAATGAGCAGACACTACATGCACTGTTCTTCTGAAGATTTAATTCCATGTATCTGGACATGGCCCAAGAAGGCTCTTCCTTTAGCATGGTTTGTATGCTCATGTTCCAGTCTTCCTATTTCCTACCTGGAGAACTTTTGCTCTTCATTGATCCATTCATTCTTGGTGTGCTAATTTGTGTTTCAGCTGTGCCAAAATTAAGGTTTAGGATTATCTTCTAAACAAAAAGGATGACCTCATTCTCCTGCGTCTAGACCCTAAGGCATTTCCCTGCTCACTAATGGGATCAAGAGTATTTTCATATGTTTATTGGCCATTGTGAATTTTTCTTTCTTTCTTTCTTTTTTTTTTTTTCTCTTCTTACAAACAGAGGTATTATTGCATTTGGTCCACAGTTGTATTTCACATTATCTCATGGAGCAGGGCCCC